ACTTTTATATTCCCACTTACTGAGTCTAATCAATCAGTTATCTGTATAGAAAATCATTTTTCATTAATTTATCTGTGATCAGTATCTGAATAGAAATGTATCATGTTCTCACTAATAAATGATGTAATAGTCAAGTTTTAGTTGTATACCATCTATTCTATGAAGGCTGTTGATACGGATCAACTATTGATTGATTAAGGTTGGAACTTACTCTTTACAAATTGAAATCTTATTGTAATAAGCACAAATTCACTACTCCAAATTTTGTAGTTTTTTTGCTTACTTACGCTTGTTACTCCTAATGGAGGATAGGCCACCGACCAGCATTCTCCAACCCACTATGTCCTCCGCCTTCTTTTCTAGTTCCATCCAATTCTTGTTCATTTATCCCATGTCTATCTGTCTCCATTTCTTGGCGTAATGTGTTCTTTGGTCTTCCTCTTCTCCTCCTTTCACCTTGAGGATTCCATGTGAGGGCTTGTCTTGTGACGCAGTTGGGTGCTTTCCTCAATATGCGTCCTATCCACTTCCAGCACTTCTTCCTGATTTCTTCCTCCACTGGGATCTGGTTTGTTCTCTCCCACAGTACGTTGTTGCTAATAGTGTCTGACCAACTCATCCGAAGTATTTTGTGTAGACAACTGTTAATAAACACTTGCATCTTCTGTATGATGGCTTTCGTAGTTCTCCAGGTTTCTGCCCCATACAGCGGCACTGTCTTAACATTTGTATTGAAACTTCTGACCTTGGTGTTGGTTGACAGTTGCTTTGAGTTCCAGATGTTCCTCAGTTGTAAATATGCTGCTCTTGCTTTGCCGATCTGTGCCTTCACATCTGCATCAGATGCACCCTGTTCATCAATGATGCTGCCCAAATATGTAAATGTTTTTACATCTTCCAAATCTTCTCCGTCAATTGTGATTGGATTGGTGCATTCTGTGTTGTATCGGAGAATCCTGCTTTTCCCATTGTGTATATTGAGACCTGTTGCTGCTGAGGCCGCTGCCACACTGTTTGTCTTCTCCTGCATCTGTTGTTGCGTTTGGGATAGAAGGGCCAGATCGTCTGCGAAACCTAGATCATCCAACTGCATCTTAGATGTCCATTGTATCCCGCGCTTTCCTTCAGACGTTGACGTCTTCATGATCCAGTCGATCACCAGGAGAAAGAGAAAGGGTGAGAGTAAGCAACCTTGCCTAACACCGGTCTTCACTTTGAACGACTTTGTCAACTATCCTCCATGCACGATTCATTTATAATATATTGAATAGTAATTAAACTTTAATAGCCTATCTTATATATAGGAATGATTTACAATAATAAATGGTAACTTCCCTACGAATCTATGTCAGTAATAAGCTCTTCCATGTTCAGAATAGGTTCTTCTGTTTTGAATACAATGACCACAAGAAATCCATCTACACGACTAAGTTTTATCTCGATAGAACAATGAGAAGGCGGAGTTGATCTGAAAAATGTGATGTATTAACACTATACATTTTGAACAATCTGGTTCATCGATAGCAAAACATATAATTGAGACGGGGCACAAAATTAACATTCATACAGCTTTTAGAATGTTGTATAGAAAGTGTCAAGGACGAATTCTCAAGTTTATTGAAGCCTTACCTATTCGTAAAGTTAGACCCCTCTTATGCCTAGAGAAGCAATTTGTCGTAACCTTGAATTTACCTTGGTAATCCTTAAGTCATTCTATGGCCTAGGATAACGAGACAATTTCTTATTCTTTCTCTTCCCTTAGTTATTTTACTTGAACTTTCATTTAATTGACCTCTATTAATTTTCATATAAAAATGCCTTGACAAGTATATGTGTGACCAGATTGTTCGAAATGTATACCCGCAAATACATCCCATTTTTCAGATCAACTCCGTCTTCTCATTGTTCTATCGAAATTTATAAAAGGGACTAATTGCTTCAAGTTTTATCCTTCTTACAGGGTAGTGAACAAGAACGAAAGTGGCGACGGTTGAATGTACGTGTTCATACCCTTACAAAGCATTTCACTAAAATTAGAGAACCATACATTACATAGTTAATTTGCAAAATATCAATCCATCGTATCAAATTTGACTGTTCCTTTTGTAAATATCAGTCCATTGTCTCAGATTTTATTGTTCATGCATTTTCCTACCAATTTCGTATCGCTTCTGTTCTTTCCTTATGGATCTTCTACTGAAATACATTCTATGCCTGATCACCGTTATATACTACTTATGTGGATATAAGTAACCCACACCTCACTCATCCCTTCTTTAAAACATTCATTCTTGTGATGGTTCTGCTCGCCGTGCCACTTTCTTCTTCTTTAAAATCTGTGTCACACCCTCCGTCAAAATGTCGAGTCTGAGGCACGCTGACCTCCATAGTTCCGTCGACCTGCAGGAGCACCATCATCTGATATCCTCCCGGAATAAGTTTACAACTACTTTAGCATTTTATCCAACGTTTAAGTATGAACTGTACTAAGGTGATCTATGTAATATCAATGGCAGTTAATGACTTCATGTTGATATCCCAATATATCTGTAGGCTTTCCAGGTGTCAATATGCACGATTATGTTTGGATGAACGTAATTTTTGATTATAGGAATAAGGATAAATCTCTTTCCCTATTCCACTTTTTAAAATAGTGGTCCAACCCACTTTCAACTTTCCTCTTTTGTAATATTTACCTTCTACAGATACTCAACTATAGTACCTTGATTAAAATGTCTCATCAATCAACTCACAGTAAACATTTTGTCAATATTAGACTTTGGTTTATATTCTGTTTGAATAAGAGTTTGAAATATCGATATCAATCATGATTGTTTCGAGTAGTATAGATTGATTTAATTGAAAATTCTTCAGAGAATTAATATATTATATATATATACATTCGGGCTCGTGAGCACCTACCCGTATGGTTAAGCAAAGGTGTTGTCAAAACTGTTGACAGCTCCATCTTAGACCATTTAGTCCAAACAGGACATACAGACAACATGGAGCAATCTTTTGCAATAGTCTATCGTGTCAACAGCAGTCTACCTTATTCCGTCAGACTGAGAATCCTACAGACGGCTGAAGCAATGGCTATTCGAATCAAAAAGCTAGAGCTTTGTATTCAAAAAAAGTATGTTCAGCCACTCCTTTTACCCTTGCCAACTAGCTAATAATCAATCTTATAATGGGGTGACGTAATCAGGTTGATGTTCATTTTTTAGGTCCCAAACTTATTATTATTATTACTATTATTGTCTTTACACTTGATAACCCCTTTTTGAGGAATTTATTCAATATCCACCCCTGAATCTACTATAGTTGACCTAATTATTTTACATATTACGTAATTTCCGATTTGTAATCACAGTATTCTCTCTCTCTCTCTCTGTAACCCCATGTTGACCATATTTATACTGATCATGATTTATCTCACAATTTCATTTCACTTATAAAACGGATTCAAGTGAACACTACTTTATATTAGTCAGCTCCAACATTAACGATTTTATTTTATATAATAAACAACAATTCCTGATTCACATATTCACAATTTCCAAATGATCATGTACTCTCTGTGCCTTAAATCTGGCCAATTTTATGGATTATTAATCTGAGTTTATAATTTCACAGGTTGAAATCATGAGTCAGTTGAAGCTAGACCACCATTGAAAACCTGGAAGCACCGGATGGCCGTTTCGTCCTAGTACGGGACTCCTCAGCAGTGCCCATCCACGAACCCGTCCCCTGCGTGATTCGAACCCAGGACCTACTGCCTTCGTGCGCGAGCACTTAACCATTAGACCACTGAGCCGGCCGGCATCGAACGGTGTTAATGCATAACTTCAACCAATCCACGAAGTTGCGCCATCGAATACCAATGTCTTCAGTGAGCTGATATCTCACAACAGACCTGATTGAACTCCACTGGTGACGGCTTCTCACTAGAACTCCAGGAGGTTCTCCTGAAGTCAGTCACTAGTGAGCAGTTGGTTATTATCAGAATGAGTTTTGTAGAGATTTTAGTAAATTTCACAGATTGAAATCATGAGTCAGTTGAAGCTTATAATTGTAGAACCTGATGAGAAATTCATTGAAAAGAATATTCTTCATTCATACAATTGTGTTTTTAATATATTAATTCATTGAGTATCAGTTGATCACAACTATAGTGTGTGCTACTTATGTCGACTATAAGTAGTATGTAATGCCAATCAAGAATAGAATGCCTAATGGCAGAAGGTTAAGGAGATCAAAGAAAAGAGAACGAGAATAGAGAATGATTGATGTAGAAACGAAGGGACAATGAAGTTTGATATAATCAATGAAAATTTTGCAAATGAAGTATTGGCGTATGGTTTCTCTATTTTACCAATGCAACTCTATAATTTTATGCTGAACTTATCGACTGTTTTATCAGGAAGGGTTTTGTGGAGATTTTAAAAATTTCACTAGTTGAAACCATGAGTCAATTGAAGCTAGACCATCATGGAAAACCTGGAAGCACTGGACGGTCGTTTCGTCCTAGTATGGAACTCCTCAGAAGTATGCATTTGCGATCCCGCCTCCCGCGAGACTGATAGATCCTGGGTTCGCATCTCGCGGGCAGCGGGATCATGGATGCGCACTTCTGAGGAGTTCCATACTAGGACGAAACTAACGTCCAGTGCATCTAGGTTTTCGATGGTGGTCTAGCTTCAATTGACTCATGATTTCAATTATTGAAATAGAGTTTTGGCTCTTGTAAAAACGCACAATAGTACAAATATTGATTCATAGTGAATTCACATGAGAAACTTATGGTATATTTTCAGTATTGGGATTTGTTCGACTAGTCAGCATACTCAAGCGTAAGTCTCTGTTGAACGTACAATCGTCAAATTCAATAGTTGGAAAGTTTTAAATTTGAATGTTTAGATATGGATTGTTCATTTTAACATAAATTATTTTGTTTCAAGTAATACTGTTGTCTTTTTGATCATTATTTTGATTTATAGCAAACTGGTTTGGCGGCACAGTGTCATCATCAACCTGGCAGACGAGCATCTTTGATTGAATTGCAATTAGTTCACAAAGATGTGTACACAGTTTTATTTGGCAGTAATCCAGCAAGCAGATGTCGGATTGATCCAACTCTTTTAGCCACAGTACGTTTATGTAGGCTAGCCTGTGGCGGAGTTGGTGTAGATTCTGATACAGCTTGGCATACTGCTGGACATACAGCTCATGCAGCGAGACTGGCAGCTGGTTGTGTTGTTGATTTGGCATGTCGTGTAATGCTTGGTCAATGTCCCAATGGTTTTGCTTTAGTAAGACCACCCGGACACCATGCAGAACCAGGTCAAGCTATGGGATTTTGTTATTTCAACTCAGTGGCAATTGCTGCTAAACGAGCTCAATTCCTTGGTTCAACAGCACTAGATACTGAAAGAAGCTCTGTAATTTCTTCTTTAGCAACCACCTTGTTTGATCAATCAACTTTTCTCCCATACACTATGGAATCCGCACTCAAACCACGAATTTTAATAGTAGACTGGGATATTCATCATGGAAACGGAACTCAAACAGTATTTTACACAGATCCAACTGTATTGTACATATCACTTCACAGACATGATGAAGGGGGATTTTTCCCCGGTACTGGATCACCTGAAGAGATAGGCTCTGGTCCTGGTGAGGGATTTACCATTAATATTGCTTGGCCATCAGGAATAGTTATGTCTGATGCCGAGTATTTAGCAGCATTTCGTTTGATTATTCTACCCGTCGCCTGTGAATTTCAACCTAGTCTTGTTTTAATTTCCGCTGGTTTCGACGCCGCTCCCGGTCATTCAGCTAATCTCGGTGGTTATTCAGTAAGTCCAGCTGCTTTTGGTTGGATGACACGTCTATTATCAATTGATCGTATTGCTAATTCCAAAGTAGTGTTATCCCTAGAAGGTGGTTATGATATGAACAGTCTTTGTGATTGTACCGAAGCTTGTGTACGAGCATTACTTAGATCAGCAGCTGAAATAAATGAAAGAAATTCAATACCTATCAATGTTCCAGATTTAATTCCTTTAAAACAATCCGAATTAGATCGAGTCCCACATCCTTTAGCAATACAAACTTTATTAAAAGTTGCACAATTACATTCTGTCTATTGGACAAGTTTTTCTAATGAAATCGATACACAATATGCATCTATGCCAGCTAGTAGTTGGTTACCAACACTATTTGATCATTCAATTGAAATTAAAAATATGAATTTAACAAATGAGCAGATTTCAGTAGTATCTACAAATGATACAACAATAAATGTGAATAAACGTTATTTAAAATCTTTTATTAAACAAACACCATTCACTAATGAATTGAATGAAATTACATCTGGAAATAATACAGAACATAATAATCGATATTTCAATTTTGTTATGCGACAAGCATCATCAATGGATGAAACAAATGAAAGTGAAATGAAATCAAATTCTATCATAAGAAGAAGAAGAAGATCAACCACTGGTATTACAGGATCTAATATTAATTCTATATCATCAATAGGAGATACAAATGAAACTATAACACGTATTGCATTAACACGTTTAGCTGAATTACATGTCACTTCACAACCTGAATAATAATGTATATAACATACCGGTTAATAGTTTAATGTTAAGGTTGTGATTGAACATAGAATACTACTACTACTACTACTACTACTACTACTACTACTACTACTACTACTACTACTACTACTACTACTACTACTACTACTACTACTACTACTACTACTACTACTACTACTACTACTATGACGACGACGACAACAAAAAAAGATCATCCTAATAAAGCGGAAGAATGTTGTATTTGTCAAATCACAGTGAATTCAATTTAAAGTGAATCCAAACATTTTCATTTGGTAATTGGATCCTAATACAACATTCTTCCTGTTTTAATGTTTCACATCAGTTTGGCGCCCAAGATTTAGATGATGTATTTGAAGTGTTTCAAAACAAAATAAAACGAAAAAAATGATAGAATATATTTATTTTTATGAGTATTTCTTATACTACTTATTACTTGTATATAAATAAATGGAAATGAACATTCCCTTATCTTACAGGTAAACCTATATATGTATATGTAGAACAAATTCATATTACCCGGTGCCTTAAGACATTTTGCTTTTCTTTTTTCTTTCTTGAAAAGAAAAGAAAAAGAAAAAGAAAGAGAAAAAAAGAAGAAAAGAAAGTACTACCTCTTAATATAAATCTTATTCAATATTCAATATACTTACTTAGTTACATACTACTGATAGTTCTGATAAAAGTAAAACATTTTTTCATAAACTACATGAATATGTCTGTTTTCTTTCTTTTCTTTTCTTTTCTTTTTTTGTTTTTTTTTGTTTGTTTTTAATTGTTATTTGCACGTTCAATTTTATTTTGTTCATTTAGACAAATGGATGTTACATTATTGAATAATAGAAAAATGCCAATCAATTGTCTGTTTGATAAGTTGGTTTGTTTTGTTTTTGTTTTTCTCTTTTTTTTTTCTTTTTTTCTCAAATAATCAATTAGATCAGTTGGCTTGATGTTGTTTAGATAAATATCGACTTAAACAAGATCGGAAATAAAGTTTTTCTGGTTAGCGTTTTTTTAGAGAGTTAGTTTTCTACGGGATGGGGACGTTAACCCCATGCCCAACCCTTCTCCTTTACACGGGCTTGGGACCGGCAGTAACTCTACAAGAGCTACAGGCGGAGTTAACCACTGAGTCCGACGTGAATCGAACACGCAACCTTCTGATCTGGAGTCAGACGCGCTACCATTGCGCCACGAGAAGATATGAAAAGGATGAATAACAACTAGAAGGAGCTGGAAAGGATTGCTCAGGACAAGGTTGAATGGAGAATGCTGGTGAGCGGCCTATGCTCTTTCACGAGGAGTAACAGGCGTAAGTAAGGAAAGTAAGGAAATAAAGTTAATTACCGATTGAGAAACATTAGAGCACAAAAAAGAACTATTTATGATTAAGGTTAGAATTCAAAGATCTTATTTACTTATTTACGTCTGTTACTTATCATGAAGGAGCATAGACCGCTCACCAGCATTCTCCATCCAACCCTTTACTAGGCAGTCCTATCCAGCTCATTCCAGTTAGTCTTCACCCTATTCATTTCTGCTTCCAAATCTTGATGTAATATGTTCTTTAGCCTTCCACTTTTCCGCTTCCCTTCAGGATTCCAAGTTAGGGCTTGCCTCGTGATGCAGTTTGACGATTTGCGTAATGTATGTCCTATCCATTTCCATCGTCTTTTCCTAATTTCCCCTTCAGGTGAAGGCTGGTTTGTTCCCTCTCACAGAAGGCTGTTGCTGATTGTATCCGACCAATGGATGTTCAGTATCTTGCGTAGACAACTATTTATAAACGCTTGTACCTTCTTGATGGTGGTTGTTGTAGTTCTCCAAGTTTCAGCTCCATACAGTGAAACTGCCTTGACGTTCGTACTGAAGATTCTCATTTTCGTATTGGCTTGTAGGCAGTTGTTTTGAGTTCCATATGTTCTTCAATTGTAGGAATGCGGCCCTTGCTTTGCCAATCCTCACCTTTACGTCTGCATCCAAACCTCTTTGTTGATCGATTATGCTTCCCAGGTACGTGAAAGATTCCACATCTTCCAGAGTTTTGCCATCAAGTGTGATTGGGTTAGTGTTCTCCATGTTGCATTTGAGGATCTTGTTTTTTCCTTTGTGTATGTTGAAGCATACTGATGCACAGACTGCTGCTACACTCGTTTTCTTCATCCGCATTTGTTCATGTGTATGCGATAGGAGGGCTAGGTCGTGTGCGAAGTCCAAATCGGTTAACTGATTCTGAGCTGTCCATTGTATGCTGTGTTTTCCCCCAGATGTTGAGGTCTTCAATCTTTGAATTGTTATTTGATAATAATAATAATAATAATAATAATAATAATAATAATAATACTGAACTGTTTTGAAATACAGTGATATTAAGAACGCAGACTGATAATCAAAACATGTAAAGTTAAACGGAATGAACTCGTTTGTAATGAACTTTATGTTGACATAAGAACGTGATAAGAGCAAATTCCATTCTTTGATCGTTCAATGCTTATGGTGATACAAATAACGCTATCAGTCTTGTATGAAATTACTAAAACTCCTGTAGCTCTTTCAACGTCACTGACTGATGTATCAAGCATAACTGCAGTACACCTGTATGTAGTTCAAATTATAAGGAATCTTTTGTAATCTATAGATGGTACATGGAGGATTTTCGAGAATTAATCACATGGTTATCTGCAAAAGAAGTTGTAATAGGGAAAGCAACTCATAAATCCGAAGTATTTTTTTATTATCTAATACTAGTCGGATTTGGGAACATTGGATTGAACTCATTAGAAATGCCATATGCATTTGTGGAATTCACAACGAAGTTCGAAATGAAGAAAAGGATTATACGTTTGTGCAAGTACATCCTCAGAATACGATTGACAGATAATAATCTAGTTTCATGTTGTGTCATAACCAACTGTTTAAAAAAATTGGATTTACCTAGGTCACATAAACCCCACTGACTAAAAGTTTACATTGATTAGTTTCATTACACTGATCAATAAGAATGAAGTACAAAACTTTACAACAAATGATTTCTGGAATATTCAGTGGAATATATCTTGAAGATTCATTTCATCATAATGAAATTAGGAACATCTTTTCATAATTCAAATTATATTGTGGCACCCATTAAGCAAGTAACTAAGTTAACAGAGACTCATCAGTTCTAGTCATGAACAGCACTAAAGAGTAAATAAACGTTTTTTTACATATTTCACCAAGTATGTATGAAACCAACTTGATTTTTTTTTCTTGAAAACTCAACCTTATCTCCATACTCAACAACAGTTGCACCAATAGTCTTTTATTTGACTGATGATCTCTGTATAACAGATTTGTTCATCCACTACGTCAGTTCGTTAAGAAACGCTATCATGTTATCCACTTAGCTGTTGAATCCTGATAGCCACTAGCTTTTATAATGAGCTGAAGATTAAATTCATTAGTAGGTAGTAGTACATCCAGCTGACGAGTTCCGAATAGGACGAAACACACACTTCCTGGATTTCACTGCTAGCCACCATCTATCTTTGCTTATAATGCTTTTAATTTAAGGCACTATCAAGGCAATCCACACAAGATGCACATATGCCAATAATAGACTGATCAATTGCAATCGTAGACATTAATGAGAAGATTCAAAGAAACAATACAAAATGAACAGAAGCCATTCAGTTATAAATTAGTCCTTACATACGATATAATAATGAAGGTGATAGTAGTTTGGTAAAACAGTAAAGAAAATCATGATCCAAAACGTTGAAGTGTTATCCTTATTTGGAACATGAAAGTATATAGTTGTTATGATCTTAATTAATCATTGGAAACATGAATAACTGTGGAAATAACATTACATGAAGTGATGAAATAAAATGTTTAACTTGAAATGAAATGTAGCCAGAAAAAGTATGGTCACAGAAATAGGTAAGTTAATGAGTAAAAGTTTCACAGATTGCGATCATGAGTCAATTGAAGCTAGACCACCATGGAAAACCTGGAAGCACTGGACGGCCATTTCGTCCTAGTACGGGACTCCTCAACAGTGCGCATCCACGATCCCCTACCCCACGAAATTCGAACCGAGGACCTATCAGTCTCGCGCCAAGCGCTTGACTAACTAGACCACTGAGTCGGCCGGCATCCAACGGTGTTACTGTCTGACTCCAACCAATCCACGAAGTTGCGCTACCGTATACCATTGTCTTCAGTGAGCTGATATCTCACAACAGACCTGGTTGAACTCCACTTATTATTATTTTTTAAAACTAGAAACTTATGAAAATAAAAGTTTGTGTGAACAGTTTTTGATTAAAATAATCAAGATGAATAACGAACAAAACAGAGAATTCACAAACCATGAAATGAAGAAAAGGAGTGTTGATTCTGTCAATACTTTTCGCTCAACTACTGAGCAGCCCGTGGATGTCTGATGCTCTGAACATATGGATACATTGTTAAGAGAAAAAAATTATTCTTGAAATGGTGATTATTTATAAACCATTTTGATAATCTATATAATATCTATGAACTACCTAAGGCCTCAATAACTATCAATATTTGAAACAGGAACTAGAGGCACAAAATACGTGAATCATTGTAGTTAAACAAAGATTTAATTAAATAAACAATCGAGAGTAACCCTTTACAAATATTGGCAATTTAGAATTATGTTCACAAATAAACTTTGTAGTGTGGTGTCGAGTCACGGTTGACTATGATCACCACTACAGGAAGACTACGTGCCAGTTAACCGATAAGATCCCCCGTAAGCCAAATATCAGAAGGCAATTGATGGCTATAGTAGGGATGTATTCGTTGGTGATCTCGTGGTATCGAAAGAATACCGAAATCATGCCAAAGGAGTACAAGTGTGATTATTGAGCGTAACCGGATTCGTGCAAGGTCACAATCAAAGGAAGGAAGAATAATGGAGGAAAAATGAATGTCTTTAGTACAGTTAAACAAACAGGTACATTAAAACAATCCCTGGTACAATA